GCGCCGTGAACGGTAGCCCATGGGCTACCCACGAGCTCTTCTGCCCGTGGAATTTTCCAGGCACGAATACTGGAATGGGATACCATTTCCTCCTCCAGAGGATCTAACCCAACCCAGGGTTAGAACCCGCATCTCTTTTGTCTCTTGCATTGGCAGGCAGATTTTTACCACTAGTACCACCTGGGATGATGATAAATAGGCGCATAGAGGAGTTCATAGATGAGGCCACGCAATGAACTTATGGTCATAAAGCAAAGCTGCCAACATTAACCATCATTCTAAACACAAAATTATGCTTCTTCTCATAAAATTCTAGAATCATAAGAGATGTTATAGTTTATTTAATTCAACCTTTCATTTTAGAACTAAAGAAAGGAGTCAAATAGTTCAAAATTATGTACTTTACAAGACCCGCTCACTCTTATGATGAAAATGGTACAAGGATTAGGCACAAGCACATTGCTTTATGGCAAATAGGGAAAACATGAAAACAGTGACAGGTTTTATTTTCTTGGGCTCCAAAANCTCTGGGAGTTGGTGATGGACAGGAAGCCTGGTGTGCTGCAGTCCACAGGGTCACAAAGGGTTGGACATGACTTAGCAACTGAACAACATCAACACCAGAAGGCTCAAGTAAGCAGCGCAATCTGGTCCCGACTCCCATTTCATACACCAGTTTCTTAACCAACATTTATTTATATTGTGTAGGGGATGCCTTAGGACAGCTGACAAAGGAGGCAAAGAGCAAAGTTGGTTTATGAACTGTCATCCCAGTTCTTGCATGTAAGCTAAACATGGATCAGAACTTCACTACATGGTGGCCTTTAAAGACAGTGGTGGGGTGAATCTTTCTGATAGCCAGAGCTCCAGGTGGTACAACTGATCACCTTTTGGTGAAAAAAGAATGGCCCAAGATTAAAATCTATGCAGATTCATGGGTGGCAAGTAGCTTGAGAGGAGAAAGATGGAGAGATCAGTCATGGTACATGGATGGAGCAATGGGAGAGGGCATACAGTGTGAGGATCTTGGCATTGCGTGTGGAGGGTGTCTACTCTGGACAGGAGTTAAACAACCAAGTAATCACAGTACACGAAGTGTCAGCAGGTCCACGTCAACTGCCTCTGTGTCATCAGAGCTCACAGTGTTTGAACACGAGGCACAATGAACAGAGTCATAGTGTCCAGAGAATGGAGGCTATGCGTGGGTCTGGTTACATGAGCTCCCATTTGCTGAGGCTGGCAAGAGCGATCAATGCTGACTCCCACGTACAGCACCATCCCTTCCGGAGGCTAACCAGCCACCTGGTGGCAAGTTAACTGCATTGAACTGTTTCCAAGCTGGAAAAAAACTGCAATTTATTTTGAACACTTTTTGCATCTCTATGTATTCTAGGTTTGGATTTGCCTTTCCTGTCTGGCGAATCTCAGGCAGCACCATTTTCCCTGTGATTACAGAGAGTTGAATCCACCCACGTGGAATCCCATATGACATTGCTTCAGGCTGAGGCAATGGTTCTTAACCAGGGGCAATATTTCCCCCCACCCAAGGGGATATTTGACAGTGTCGCCGACATAGTTGGTTCTCGAAACTAGGAGGAGGCTACTGACATCTAGTGGCCAGCGGTCAGGGTTGCTACTAAACATCAACGTACAGGACAATTGCCTGTAACAAAGAGTTGTCTCAGGCAAAGTGTGAAGACGTCACTGTTCAGAAACCATTGATTAAGACACTCACTTTATAGCAAAGGAGGTGCAACCTTGGGCCCACAGTCATGAGATCAGCTGGTCTTGTCATGTACCACAGCATCCAAACCAGCTGGCATTGAAGAACAATAGAATAGCTTACAGATGGCATAGAAAAGGCACAAGTTAAAAAATGATACCATGCAAGGATAGGTAGTCATCTTCCAGGATGCGATATATACTCAGATTAACAACCAATACATAGCGCTGTGCCCCATTAGTTAACTAGAATACACAGTGCCAGGGACCAAGGGATGAAAGTAGGAATGATCCATAGGGAGTTTCTTCTTCCTTTTCTGGTTTCTCGTCTCTCTGTGTTTACTGGTCTTAGTTCCTATATGTGGGGAACTTCCAGCTTGGAAATGTAAGCTATGATTTATGCCTATATACTTCATACTTCTCATGACAAGGGGCCAGGGGGCAAGGAGAGGAATACAATCTTGAAAGAAGCAATTGATGTGATCATCAGGAGGAAGGCTGTTATGGAACATTGAGGCCAGGGAGGAATGTGTTTGGCACTTGGTTATCTCAACACTTTGCTCAATTGTGATGGTAAATAGACAAATACAGTGGCCAAGGTCTGAGAAGGACTCGATCAGGGATTTAGATAATCAGAGATACAACTTTAGATCACCCCACCAGCTCAGCCACCAAAGGCAGCATAGGTATGAGCAGTGGGGGAAGAAAATCTAGGATAAATCATGGAGGAAGGAAACTAAGGCATATCACAGTTGTAGCCTCAAGCCTACCTGCATCCAGGAAGGCTATAGCTTATAAGTTTACCCTAGGAAAGAGACCCACCCCTCCTGCAGGAAGACCTTCAGAGTTTAGATGAAGCAAGGGGATCCAAGCTGTGCAAAAGTGGACTGCAGTAAACACTGCCCAGGTTCCCTTTCCAGGAAGGAAAGTGCTAATTCCCTCAACTGAATGTGCTGCTGGCTGTTAGCCAGCACCCATCAGTCCTCCCTGGGATTTGCCGTCCAGTGAAAACAGCCATATTGCCCATCATCCTTCCTCCTGCAGGGGACAAGATGCATCCCAAGACTTGTTGATATGCAATATGAAGAGCTGGTCTCCCTTCCCCAAATCAGAATATACCTAGAGAGCCATTCCAGACTCATGGCTCCCCTTGGGCTTGCCTTGGTTTTTGTTGCTACTACATAGCAGCCCAACTTCTCTCCCTTGGCCTGACTCTGCTTCCCCCCCATCTCACACAAACACTGATCCTGACAGCAACACCTCAAGACCCTTCTGTAGACTAGACTCCCCTCAGAGTCAATTTCTGGGGAATCTGACCCACACCATTTATATTTACATACACCGCAGCCCATGCGCGTGAAGATTCAGCGAAAGGCTGCTGCTTTAGGTTGCCAGACCTTCCTTCTTCCTTGGAAGCTTGTCTTCCAGATGGCTGTTGACAGATGCACACTTTTCTTCCTCTTCCTCAGTTGTGTCTATTCTCCTTCATTTTGGGAAATTTTCTGCTAGAATAGGAATTTTTAAAACTAGAAAGAAATGTTTGTAAAAGACTATCTTTTCTTACTTCTCTTTTACCTGCAACAAGAACCCTGTGATTAGTTTTAGTCCATTAAATATTTGGCCTAAAGCATGTGTTTATGAAATGCAAAACTTACCTTGATCTAGGCTCAGATTTACCAGAGTTCCTTTTCTTTCTTTCCAACACCCTGACTTTGTTTATATCAATGTTGACATTAGTCATCTTCAAGAGATTATAACTTGAATTTTTTGTCCAACAGCAGTGCCCTGTTCCTACGTTTTTCATGTCTTTTCTTGTACATCGGCCTATAGCAAGGGAAAGGCAGCTGAAGCTAAGCACCAATGTCAAATGCTCACTGAAGGATAAATGGATAACTTCAACAGTGTTATATCCCAGCTGAAATTATACTGAAATTCTTTATTGGCCAGACCCAAATCTAAATATATCTATTCAGCAAGTAAACTCAGACTGTTCCCTTAACTGCCAATTTCCCTGGAAAAACAGATCAGAAGACAATTATTGGTAAATTTCTTGTTTAAATGCTTGATAAAATTCACCAGTGAAGCCATCTGAGCCCAGCATTTTCTATGAAGGAAGGATTTTATTTTTATTTAGATATTATCAACGTATAACATTATTTTATTGAATAATTTCAAGTGTACAATATAATGATTTAGTATATGTATATATATGAAATGATGACCACAATAAGTCTAGTTAACATCAATCACCAGACACAGTTATAATTTTTTCCCTGTGACAAAAACTGTTCTACTTTCAGCAACTTTAAATACAATACAGGATTATTAACTGTAACCATGCAGAACTTTACATCCCCAAAACTTATTTATTTTATAACTAGAAGTTTGTACCTTTGACTATCTTTTTAATTATGAATTTTATTTACTTAATAGGACTATACAATTATTTTTTTCAATTTTGTCATTTTGGTTTGTTGTTTTTCTCAAAAAAAGTGTATCTTTTTCATCTAATTTGTTTATTTTCATAAACTGTATCACAATATTTAATGTTTCACTCTTCATCATCAAATTTTCATCCGGTATCACTTACTCTTAGCCAAAAGAACTTCCACAAATATGTCTTGCACACATCTGCTGATCAATGCCTTTTCTAGATTGATAGATTTGATATATTTTTAATACATTTAAAAGATATTTTTCCGTTGCCTTCTGATTTTCACTGTTTCTGGTAAGAAAACAGCCTTCTTATTTTATTCCCTGTATTTCATGTGCATTTTTCCTCTTGCTGTTTTTATGTTCTATTTAACTCTGGTTTTCAGCAGTTTAATATAATAGGCCTAAGTCCTGTTTTCCTTTCTGCTTGGTGTTTGCCTCAGTTTTTGTAATTATATTTTTAAAATAAAGTTAACAAATTTTAAACATTTTCTTAAATAATTTTTTTGCCCCATACTTTTTCTTCTCTCTTAGACTTCAGTTATACAAGTGTTAGTTCATTTGCTATTATTCCACGGGTCACTGATATTCTACTTTTCATTTTTAAAGTAATTTTTATGGCTAATTTGCTCATAATTATTAATAATTCTGATAGATAATTCAAAAAATATAAGCAGTATCAACAATTCATATCATACCTTTAGAAATAGCAATTATTTTTCTCTTTTAAAACTTATATCTCATTTTCTTTTTTGTGTTACTATCTTGGCCAGGACATGCAGTTTGTATTGATCATAGCAATGATAGTAAACAAGATAAGAACTAAAACATTAGTAATTACAAATTAGAGCAATGTAAAATCCAAGAAAAAAGATTAATAGCAAATCAGACATTAGTGGAGCAGAATTGTTAATATATGGTAGAAAAGACAAAGAAATGCCAGTTAAAGTGTGAAATGCTGCATTTTACAGCACCAATCATTTGTCCTGTAGAGGCATGGCCTGTGCCATATGGCAGACTGTGATTTGTTGTCGATTCAGTTATCTAAAAACAACAAAATCACTAGTCTTCCACACAGAACTAGACCAACATCCACTGAATCTTCTATATTTTCTACAGGCTCTGTATAATTTGTAACAAGTGGTTTTGGCAGCAGTTTTCACCAGAAAAAATGAGAAGTTTGCTTGGTTAAGGCTTCTTCCAGTAAGATTAGTACCGAATGTCTTCGTGTTTTAGCAAGAAGGCAGAAGAAAATTAAAGCAAAGCTATTAGAATATTTAGAAGTTAGGTCCCCAAAAGGTTGAGACACCATGGCTTCTAAAAGAAAAATCAGCTGAGAAAGAGAAGCTTTTTAAGGTTTTAGTATGTGTAGGCTAGTAACATAAAGCTAAACAAACTGACCTGTTCTGCAGCAAATACTGTGCATTCTGTATCTGGTCCTGTGTTCCTGTAATGGTAATGATCCGATCTTCGGATCCTTCTAAAGGCTCATCAATTTTGATCGAAGCTCCTGACTCATGACGGATTTGTTTAATCCGCTGACCACCTTTGCCAATAATAGATCCAGCCAACTGCAAAAATTTTTAAAAGCAAGTGTTTATGATATACTTAAAAAAAATTATCCTGTATGTTCAGTGACCATCAAGAGCATTCTTGTACAACTTGTTGACTACACTGTGTTAATTTAGTGCCCTCCAACCAGTCAGAGTTTGCATTACAATCTATTTACACCACTCACTGACATTTCCTTTAATAAATGAACCAGGGGCTCAAACCCCTGGTAACTGCTTTTAATAGTACTGAACACTTTTTGACAAGGCTTCAAGTGGAGAACACTTCACTGAAGTCCTTGAAACACAATTTTAATCCTAAAAGGGAAACTTCTGTTAAAACCTTCGTTAAGTCAGAAAACTCATAAAAATGACTCAGTAAATGTCTTTTATAATACTAAAAATACTTACATCTTTGGGAATAGTTACTTGTGTAGTAATAATAGGTCCACCAAGATCACCATATGAGCCACGACCCCCTGCATAGGAATAATCTGATTTAAATAATGAGTATTAAGTTCATATACAAAGCATGAAATAATGTTTGATTTCAGAAAGAAGAAAACTTACCATATCCAGAGCCACCCTAAAAACAGAACAGACAAGAACAGAAAGTTACTTTGCCTTCCAAACTTCAGGTAATGAAACACATTCCTAAAAAACCCCCAATTATTATTAGTAACCAAAGCCCTCCCGTATCTTCCCTAGTAAGCCAGTTTCAGAAAACAATCTTCAGGGGAAGAAACCATTCAGGTACACAGCGTTCCAAGAAACAAAAATGTTATACAGGGGGAGATAAAATACTTAATTGGTGAGTAAACAAGCGTTTTAAAATTATTACTAAATAAACACCCATGATACTCAACCTGTGGTTCATAAGCCATCTGCCACTCTGATGGGCTCCATGTATCTATTGCAGAGTCCCAGGTTTCATCAGCGCTGAAACCAACCTGTGTTAAGAGAGAAAACTATTAACATGAACCTGCACAGTATTTGTCAGAGCCATCATTTTTATACAATCAATTTCTATTTCATGTCTCTCTGTAAGTCTTCAGTAATCATGTATTTTGGGGGCAAACAAAGATGGGACCAATCCTAATATCCCAGCAGAGTGACTAACATAGTCTATATGTAAGACAAGTTCTTCAGTTAACACATTCAATAAAATGTTAGCAATCTGATTTTTAAACCCCTTGGCTCTAATACATTAATGAAGTTATCAATGTTCTTACCATGCCATCATAACGGTCTCCAGGTCTTCCTCTTCTGTCATAGGCCATTAGATCTCTGCAAGCATAGTAATTGTTGTAATCTCAGCTGGTCACGTATTTGAAATGAAAACCTACCCCCTTCTATCTGTGAAGTGCTGCTTCTTGTATGTCAATGTGTGGATGAAAGAAACTTACCCTCCTCTAGGTGGTGGTGGTGGTGGAAGAGGAAGATTCCGAGCTCTACTACCGCCCCGGCCGCCTCGCCCGGGAGGGGGTGGAGGAGGTCCTCGACGAGGGCTCATATCATCATAATCTCTTCTGGAGGGAGGCATGGGACGCCCACCCCGACCAGGTGGCATTCTGTCAAAACCACCTCTTCCCCGCATGGGAAATCCCACAGGACGTCCACGGCGGTCATCAAACATCATTGTAAAACCACCATAGTCATAGGTCTCGTCATAAAAGTTGGGATCGTAAGGCTGAGCACGTCCTTTGATGGGAGACTGAAACAGAAACACAGCAAACTTTATAGACTGAGGGGAAAAAACCTTAATTCACACTAACAATTCTTTCAACAGAAAACTTCAAGTACTTTATTTCTCTTGGGAGGTACTTGTGGCAGGATAGGGACAGGAATATATGCAAACATAACAAATAGAAAGGATTTTTAAAAATGCATTTCTGGTGAGTTTGAAATAAAAAAAGTTGGGAGTTTTCCTGCTCGTGAGGCAGCAGTTTAATTCTACCCTTAAGAGCTAACATAAAACACCACAAATTCCTTTCAATTTCACAATGGGGATTATGAAGAAATTACTACCCAGAGATCATCACTATCTAGGGTGTGCAATGTAGTACTACAGAGGAACCATAAAAACTTCATTTGAATGATCAAAAGTTATTAAAAAACCTCACCAACAATCAAAAGACAACCGTACAGATTCTCCCAAAGTATTTCTAAATTAAATTGATGGAAAAACAGGGTGATAGAAAATTGTTACGGAAAAGTAATTTGTCTTTGGCTTCTGAAATTACTTTTGAATAAGACATCTGTTTTGTGAAATTAAATGCAAATAAGTGTTCTGAAGGTACCTCTGATATAAGATCAAGGATGATCTTTATGCACTCTACAACCCTATCAGGTTTTCCTCCGATAAGAACGACTCTGTCAGTAGATTGAGGACAACATTCCTGGAAAAGCTTGATTGTTGTCTGAGTGTTCTGCAATAGGTTTACAAAATAAGCAGTATTAATTAATCAGAAAAAAAAAAAAGAAAATGCACTAAAGAAATAAAAGTTGCAGGTTTACACAGACAATTTATATTTTAGTAAAATTTCCCCCCAATGTAAAAACCTTGTTAGTAAGGGTTAGGCTTTGCAATACACTTTTGGCAAGTAACTTGTCTAGTATAGTCAAGCCATTCTGCTATATTTTAATTAGCAAACTATGTAATCTTAGGGGGAGGAAACTCAAAAGAGGGAATGAGAAAAGCCTACCAAATCCTTACAAACTATTTTCCAGTAATTCAGCAGGAAAAAACAAAACACTGGCTTTACCTCTCGAAGTTCTTTGATTTTAGCACCTTTGACTCCAATAATTCCTCCTGCCAGACTCTGATGAATCAACAGTCTCAACTCGCAGTCAAAGTCGCTTCCTTTATAGTGTTGGTACTGCGGAAGGAGTTACAGAATTTCAGTTCCAAATCAAAGATTCCCCAATACACACTTATCTGCTATAAGCATACCAATATACTGTTGCAGTGAGCAACCTGAATTTATATTTCAATAACTTTACCAGTTATGTGCTATTATCCTCAATAGCCAGGCCCAAAAAGGACATTCTGCACCACCTTAAAAAACTATTTTATTTTCAGGTCCTGCAACACCATACCCACACTGCAGCCATTTAGCATGTCGCTGTTACCACAAAATTATTATTAACATTCAAATAACACCATAATAAAAATGACTGCAAAGCACTTTGCAAATGTAGTTAATTCCCACTGCAGCATGGAGCAGGGTCAACAGTGAGTTGTAAGACCATTCATTTATCATCTTTTTAAGCCTTTTTCTATAGAGACGGGAAAAGTACACTATGTTGAAAATAAAATCGATCCTATGGGCCAGGCTCCATACTTCAGTGGGGTTCAATGGCACTATGACATACATTTAAGCATTCCACAGCATCAGATTCGAGCGGGAGCTGGCTGGTTGCAGTGGGTGATGGCAACTGCAGGCCCTGAAAGTAGAAAAATAAGAGTAATAGGTTAAGTGTCTAGTGTGATCAGGCTATTGTCGCATATATTGGTAAAGCTACTACAACATATTTCAAGACTATCATTAAATAACAAGAAATTGCTTATCTACACTAACAGTCAACATACAATGCTTTTTTATCTGTACACCTAGCAAACAAGATTACACAGAATTTAAAAATACTCAAACTAGATCAAACGTAGTCCTTTCCAACATAGTCTCAGTCAGCAGTCTAACTCAAAACCTCTTCTAAAAATAAAGCCCATAATATACATGCTAAACTCCATGAATGTGCACGACCACAGGCACTTCCTATCTACTCCAGAATGGCTAGACTACCATTTTCAAACAAGGAACGTGGGATGTAAAAGAACCCTGCACTTTAAGCAGCAGAGTGTAACACATTGCTGCTAAACAACTACTATATCCAGTGTCTCTCTGCCTCCCCCATTTTGCCCCATTAAATATTAAGTACCCCCCATTGTGAAATACATTAAAAAAAAAAAGAGCCTACCTCTTCCAAGGTAGGGATGATTTTCTTCAGAATTTCTCCAATCGTTTCAATATCAGCACTGATACTCAATATGCTGTCAAACACCACAAATACCAGATAGTACAAAAAAAGGTGGAAAAGAAAAATGAGTTTTGTGGTCATCACCAGTAGTCAAACAAACTTTTACAGAGATGAACATACAATTATTTAATAGTCCCCATTTAAAGTAGCCTATTTATACATTTTTCACATGCATTTTGTTTTATGCCCAATACGAACATGGTAACAATATTAGGAGACTTGCAGAGAGACAGAAAGAATGGGCTCTTGGAAGGGCTCAGATTAAGTGGGCAATAAATTGACCAGAACTGAAGCAGAGTTGAATATTTATGTTCCCCGCCACCACTAAGTTAAGGATACCCTCGCTGTTACATTGGAAAAACTGGCACACCTTCTCTCAGGCAAAGTAGGGGAATATGCAAGTGGTAAACATTGTATTTGGAGTAAGGTTATGGATACCAGTTAGAAATTAGATCACTAATGGGCTCTGCAAGAAAACAAATACAAATGCGAGACAAAAACAAAGACAACACAAATGAGAAGTGAAGTAAAGTGAACCAGAGTTAGCATTTCATCAGAAAAAATTATGAACAGGCAATGTTGGGAAGCAAGGTGGGCCACAAAGACAGAGCGAGAGACTGTTTCGGTAACAATTTGATTTACAATGCAGCAAATATGCAACACTTGAAGCTGTGCTCCTTCCATTGAAATAAAATTAGTGGATCGTTTGGGTGGGCAACTCACGGTAAAAGTTCAGTGACAAAAAGACTTAATGGGGAAAATAAGACAGAAACTTGAAAAACAATACACCGTCTAAAGGGGATACTATTTAATTATATAAAAGGCAGGTAATAAAATACATTTCTCTCTTTCTAATCAGGCAGTGAGGCATAAACTGTTGGGACATACCGCTCGGGGCCACTGCTGTCTGGGACTGAAACACTGGCATTGTACTGCATTGGTCATTGGCGTTCGTGGATGTTGGCATTGGGCATGGGCATTCAATCAGAAGTTGTCAAGTATGGTACCCGTTTGGCAACGAGCACATTTTTGGGCATAGCCAACCAGGGTTTTCACATGGGCGTTCAGGGGCGGATGGGCCAACGTCATGGTGGGCAACGCAGGGGTAAGTCGATCCAGTACATGGGCAACGGAGATATATGGCCAAAAAAACAAGGAGAGGGAAAAGGGGGAAAAGCAATAAATTTTAATTTAATACAAACTATACTCATACTCTCAATTAATGAAACAAGCTTAAGTTGTTCTGAAGACTAACACAATAATGGACTTCTCTATATCTGACTGTGGCTTAACATTTAAGGACCTTTAATGATGGTACTTTTAAAAAACAAACGATGTTTCAGTAGCAGGCTGGCTCATGAGGGTAGACACAAAACCTGTCACGACTTGAATTCTTGAGGAAACGGGGAAATTATTAACCCAGATAATTATATAGAACATCTGGATTAAGAGGAAAGAGGTTTATAAAAGACAAAAATTCCCACACCACCAAAAATCCTACTTAAAGACTAATTTGGTTTCCTGGAGGTTTAAAATGCATTCCTAGATCCTAACAGGCAAGTTTGTAAAATTTCAATTTTTAAGTTCAGTTTACAGTAATCAAGAGGAACATACAAAGATCTGCGACCAAGAGAGAAATGAAATACTATCAAATAAGTTTTCAACACAAAGTTCTTATTTGCCTCAACTTCAGCAAGGAAACATCAAGAGTGTGTAACATGAGAAAAAAAATTAAGAAATTTGGTGTAGCCAAGTCCTATAAATATGCTCACTTCTGGTGATACCAACATTTAATGTGTCTAATCACAAGAGTCAACCCACTATAAAATATGAAGACACAAATTATCAGCATTGACAGACGGTCTCCCAGTTATAAAATTAAGTGCCTACTCTATTCTTTACTCATATCTAAATCATGCAACCTCAATTTCTTTGTGCTCCATGTGCAAGCTGTTCAAGAACAGATGGGCAAATTGGCGGGAAAAAAAGGGAATAAAAATTTGGAGTTTAATCAGCCACCTGCAATGGTTTTCAGTACTACTGTACTTGGTTCACACATGGGAAATGGTGCAATTAAGGGGTTTTATACTGTTATTTCTAATTAAGATGTTATCTTCCTTGAAGTGAATAATCTGGTGTAAAGTTATTAGAAAGTGAGGAGGTTTAATATGGACCCCCCAACTCAATCTGGGCTTTGTTAGGAATGGCAAATCTTTAGAATTATCTATGTATTCAATTATTACAAAAGGCTTGTATCTAAGCTATTAAATGATTTCTATGATGCAAATCTTTAAATTTCTAAAAACACATAAACTGAAGCTGCCTGTGTAGTAGTTTAAACTCTTTAATACTTACGTCTGTACGGAGAGCCTTAATATTCTTGCCTCCTTTTCCAATCACTGCTCCAGCATTCTAGAGAAAATAAAAAGAAACACAGTGTGTCTTCTTAAACTTTTAGTCAAAAACAAACACCACACAAGTTTAGCCTATCTAACCTCTTGTTTGGTTATAGCAATGGAAATCTATTTGGGGAGATTAAAACCACCAGGTTTAGACAAAAACCAAGAGTATGTTACATGCTCTGGGGACTATATACCTAGACAGAGCTTTGAAATATTCAGAATGCCATATTGAGTATAAATCTTAAGCACTGGCACCAATTTTACAATACCCTTCCACATATCAATTAACTTAAATTCTAGCAGATACTTTCCCATTTTTAGCTGTATTATTAGTCAGGTAAGCTGCCAATCAGGATGTTATCTAATGAACCCACCATGTAATAAAAAATAGCATCTTTAAGGCATTAATGCTATAGGGACCATTCACATCCATCTCCTAATTAGGCTGGTAATAGTTCACTATGTTAAGGGCTTTCATTTTAATCATTAGCAAAACAACTGCCATTGGCCTAAAAATCTAAGTCTGTTTGCTTAGAAAAGAGCCACACAAATATTTTACATTCTGCAGCCTTCTGAAGGCATCCCAGAAGGCTCAAACGTTTTCTTAATTTCTACTTTGAGTAAGAACCATTTCAAAAATAAAATCTATACCTTGCTCTGAAGCAGAATGCGTAATTCAACCATCTCATCAGTGTTTCTAGATCTTTTAAAAGCTTGTTCCTCTTCCATATCTTCAGCAGGGCGTTTACCTAAAAATTAAGAGTTTAGATTTCAGAGAGCACCTGCATCTTCAAGAAAGGGTACCTTTAACTACATTTTAGTTTTAACCTACAGATTAACATTTAATTCCATTCCCTCTGAAGGGATTAGTTGTTAAAGCTTGTTAAAAGAAAAAAGGGGGCACTCAATCTTCAACTATTAAATCAAAATACCCTCTCTTAATTTTCCAAACATGAAATATACTGTGACAGCACATCAAAGGATTAGAAACTTCTAAATCCAAGAAAAAAACTTAAGTTTTGTATTTACTAGCTTTCATCTTTTAATCGGTTTCCTCACATGCGCAAATCAGTTACTTCTAGTTCAAAAAAGTTACTTCTAGTTCAAACAAGGATCTCAGGGAAAGTAATGATGAAATTAACAAAACAAAAAGAAATTGTTAAAATGTTTTCTCACCAAATTCTCCATTGGTTTCCGTGTTGGGAAAGGTTTCCTCCGGCTGTTCAGTTTCCATTTTCTTGTATTCAAGGGACACACCAATCTGTTAAAAAATAAAGAGGCTAGTACACTTGGTTTCTTGGAAGTAGGCTGTGCAGCGTGCTAAATATTAAAGACAAGGGAAAGAAATGACTATTTCCAGAACGTACCAGTTATTAAATATATCCTTCCAGGGCAGAACTGAAGCGTTCTGGGCGGGACCAACTGACACCCTAGTGCTGTAGTAGCCTACGAAAACCAACACAAATCAGTTTTGCTTTTTTGGTTATTACCGAATACTAATGACTACAGATTTGAACAGAACAAAAGAGCCATTCCTAAAACGTGTTTTAGGATCTTAAATTTCCAAAGGACCGCCCTAAAACACAATCCAAAAGACCTATCTGATTTTTCTGTAATAGCAAAAACACCGTAATTTTTAATCCTTGGATCAAGTTCCACCACAACAATGTTTTATATAAATACATAGAAACCAGACACATAAGGCATTGAAGCCCCCGAGTCTCGAGTAATGTTCCCGAAAGAAATTATTACATTTGGATTCTAAACTTCTGGGTTTCCTTCCATCGGTGACTTGAAAAGTCTACTTGAAATATAAAAGCAAATGCAAGCCATACCCAACAGTCAGGTCAATCTACTGGAGCGATAAACAGGCAAACCTAAAACAGGAGTACACCCAAACTGCCTGTACTACTCGACTAACAGAACCCTTGAACACCAATAACATCACTAGCGGGATATTTCAAATTACGTTAAAAGCGGTATAACCTGACAATTTCTTTCAGCACCACCAGACTGGCGATAGGACTGTTAACAGCCTTTTGGCTCCCCTCTCCTGACTGGCAGGAGGCGACATGCTGCTCCCGTTATAAGAGAAATAGCTAAACAGCTCACAGTTATGGCAGTATTTACGCCTTCAACTCTTCCCAATAACCGAAACGCCAACCTGGCCCAACACTCAAATACTGAGGTGCTAACGCAAGATTTAGATAAAGGGGTCTGACGACAAATAGCAGGCTGTTTATAAGGATAAACCCAATATCCTTCAAGTGCTTTAGTCGCCAGGTTCAAAAAATCGCTGAGTATATGCGCTACCAGCCAAGGGCAAACATGCCCTCCTCCCCTCAACGCCCGAAACCGGGATCGGCAACCGCCAAGCAACAGGAGTTGAGAAAGCTCCCGAGGCGAGAGCACAAGCGCCGCACCTCTCCCCAGCCCGATCCGACAGGAAATGGCGGCCCGCGTAATGGCGACTACGTGCTACTAGGCGGAGCCGAGCGCGGACCCCCTCCCCCACCCACCACGCGGTCCCGAGACCTCGTCCCCCGCACCCTCCCCCCACCGCGGGAGACAAAGCAACGAAGGCAGCCCCGACCGTTCCAGCTCGCCCGTTCCAGAGTCAGGCCCGGAGCGCCCAAGTGCGGCGGGCCCCATACAAAGAGAACGGCGGCGTTCTCTACCGCCCCCCGGCTCCCTCTCCTTCCCACACAAGGCCTAGTTCCCATCACAACAAAACTCATCCCACCGGCACAAGCCTCGCGACTCTCCGAAGCCTCTAGTGCCACAACGCGGACTGCATATATACGCTCAGGGAAATGGCGGAGGTGGGGGGAGGGGAAACCCGGCAACGTTCCCTCCCAGAACCCGCCAACCATCACCAAGCCCCCAAACGCCTTCCCCGAAGTGGAGAAAGTACTCTCCGGCCCTCACCCCCACGCGCCGTTTGCCCAGGCTCATTCCTCACCCGGCAAGGGTACCGTCCCTATGCCGCCGCGCCTCCTCAGCCGGTCACAGCTAGACAGAGAACAAGCGTAGGCCCCCACTGCCCTCCCCCGCCTCCACGCACTCTCTTACCCCGCCGCCGGGCCCGATTGGCTACACCGGCTACAGCGGTGGCGCGAGAGCGAAGCGATTGGCCCAAGGCCGCGTCAATCAAGGCGCCGGAGAGGGCGACAACCCCGCCCCCCGCCGGCGCCTCCCTTCAGGCTGTAAGGCCGCTAAGGGCCTGAGAAAAATCAGACTTCGAAAAAGTCAACGCAGCCTTTAGGGAGGCCAAACCCCTACCCGAACCCGCAATGCCCAAGCCCCAATAACTCTAATTACCTATAGGCCGCAAATAAGCGGGAAGTAAGCAAGACGTCGAGGTCGGTGCAGCAGAGAAACAGAGGATAATGGCGTCTGCAGAGCTTTCGCCTAAAGCGCCCTCCTCCTTTCTCGTTCGCGCACTCACTGGCTGGGGCGGGGGGGGGAGAACTAAAGGCTGTCCCGTTCTCGCGCACAGGGAGGGGCGGGTAGGGGGCGCTTCTGGACCAGGAGTCTTCTGGGGTGGGAGGAGGGGCGTGAGCGCGCGGCAAATCGGGCGGGAAGCAGCGAAAAAGGATTAGGACGCGCGTTTGTGGCGGTTCCTAGTCTCACGGTCGCGTGCCCGGGAACCGCTGTTGCGCGTGGGGAAGGCGGGACGCCCAGGTCGGTGTAGGGCCAGACGAATGCCCCCGTTTCGACAGCCCTCATTCGCGTCTTCTTCCCTCCCCGGTTCTCCCCTCCCGCCCAGGCTGCAGGGCGAGCTGCGCGCTGGTAAGTGCAGCCAGCTCGCCGGCCCGGCCCACGCCGCGCTAACCCGCTGTGCGTAACGGGCCGCAGCGCCCTTCAGGCGGGGCCTGGGCAGGGGGCGCAGCCAGCAGGTTGCGGTCCGCGGTCGACTGGCGGCTCGGGCGGGATTCCGAGAAGCGCTAGCAGTCCCGCCGGGCTGTGGCGGTCGAGCCGTGGAGTCCTGCACGGTTCGCCCTCTTTGCTTCCGGCCGGGAGCCTGCGCTCGCAGGATCTTTACCGGGCTCTGCGTTCTAATGAAACTTTATTTTCCCTTTCTTTTCTTTATTAATGGGGCCTGTGATACGAGTATTTTATAGTGTCGTTGCTGTAGTTGCGTGTGAAAAATTTCTGAAAGTATTGCTTTCATCTCCTACAATGAATGCAAATCGCAAAATGAGTTGTAGACATCCGCCTTCCGTTCACTCACCTTCTTAAATCACCCACCGTGTGTCGGCAGTGACTTAGACTAAACCTCTCGCCCTCATGTAGGTATGTTATCATCCTAGGGTGTTCAGGTTATACTTACTTTGTGTTCGGCTACTTCTGAGGCCTCTGTGTCAGGCTTTGATTTTTTTTTTTGTTAAGGCCCTTAGGTCCAGAATCGGTGACAAACCTCGGAAATTGCCAGTAGCAGTACCCAGTCTCCACATCCCGACTCAACCCTCCAGCTCTCACCCACAACCCCAAACTTGGTTTGAAAAGGGAAAATGTTATAAGTTACACGTGAAGCCAGATCTATCGTTAGAATACACATTTTTTTGGGTAATGATGAATTTGTGCTGATTCATTCCATTGTAATTTGATTTCCCTCTTGAATACTTTGCAAATTAGATGTAACCAGCGTCTCTAAGAATTGTCTGTGATTTTTTACCACCTATTTTACTTGTTTAATTAGGAAGGAAACTTTTTAGGGGGAACTGAGGACTTCATGAAGCACCAAGTATTTACTGGCGGGAAGGGTAGTTAAGTACTGTTGGACCAGTGTCTGGCATCGTGGGGTTTATAAAAGGCTCTTTGAGTTGTAGTTTTTTAATGGCCCCCATGTGAAGAATATTATAGTCTTGTTGGGAAGTAAAACTTAATGTGCGTTTGGTTTTATGATACATAGTTCAAATTTTTATTTAATTTTCAAGAAAAGTTGATTGTATGAAGGGGCTGGGGATATTTGGATTATAGAGATTTAATCTGCCAGTCAGGATTTGCAACATTTAATTGAATCTGTCTTTCAAAACCAGGGATACTTCACTGACACGAATAGGCACATATAGGATAATGTACTGAGGGTGCTTTCTTTCAAACTAGTATTTCTGTTGAAACCATCATTTTCTGCCTTGATAAACAGTGATGACTGGTGAGCAGGAACGCAAAGTAAGCAGCTCTAAGAACTTCCTAGTTTCACTGTTCTCTGACTGGACCCTCAAAGCTGAAAGCTCTTATTCACCCTTTTCAAGGTTTTTTTTTTCTTTTTCTAATTGATTTTTTTTAAATAACAAGAAAGTCTGTTTTTTCCACCGTCTTTTCAAACAAACTATTTTACACCTGCTTCATTCAGAGACGACCAGTTTGAGGAAGGTCTGTCCCTTAGCCAACCTTTCTTTCATCCTCTTATTTTCAGCCAAGCTGTGTTTTATCTGTGCTTATTCAAGGACTTACCAACTTGATTGACATATTGTGGCTCTTGTGTAATTAATTGTATGATTATTTGGGCTCCTGATTAATTTAAGGCTGGTATTACTTAGCTGTGGAATTTACATTAGATAAACTAATATAATTGAGATTGTATTCTAGTCAGCTGGATGATTATTTAAAATTCTGTAGCTATTATTTTTTGAGTTTGTGCCAGACTTTGTGCTGGCAGTTTAATTCTTATTACAGTCCTGTGCGTAAATTGTGGATAAGACAAAAAGAAGTTAAGGAACAAGTCTAAGGTCACAAAGCAGAGATACGAATCAGACTCCTATACCTGTTTTCTGTCTTTCTCTTGCATTAGGTTATGGAGGATCCACAAGCAGCTCCACTAATTACTTCTTTCTGATTTAATCCATTAAATATAATTTTTTCCCCACAATTTTCAGAAAGTGTGTTCTCAAAATTCTTGAGTTACCTTAACATTATTCCCAAGAGTTAAAAACAGACTTATGTGTATTTTTTAAGGTGGAGGCAGTGGAAACATGAAACGGTTAAAACTTAAATATTTGTTAGCGCTTTTAAGTCTTAACTATTGATTGAATGCCACATACCATGTCTAAAAGGATGGTACTTCTGCCTCTTGTTCTATTTGTTAAAAAATTGGAATATGTGAGGCTGACTGAAAATTAACTTATAGGTGAAATTTGTGTAAATCTTAGTAGTGATAAATGATATTATAAAATTTTCCTACTCTGTTCTCTTCTGCTCAGTTCCTTCAGTCAAGATCTAGAATGTAGATTGCTATGTCAGCCAAGTTAAGCAGGAGCAAGATGTAACTCAGTTTTTTAAAAACAGTTTTTTCACGTTATAAAATTAATGGAGATTAATGTAGTTTTACATATGGTCTTTTTTCCTAACAAAATAAAATAACATATTTTCATGTCATTAAATAGTCCTTAAAAATATTTCTTTTAAAACTATTTTCTGGATCCAGTGTGATTATGTATTTATTAATTTTACTGTTGTTGAACACTCAGTTTTTTCCCACACTGTAAAAGCTTTGTGATAAACACTCTGGCACATAAATCTTTGTCCTTATTTCTGATTGTTTTCTTAAGATTAAGTTTTGAAAAGTAGATCCTGTGGTGTGAACATTTTTTACTGTACAATTTCAACAAGGTATACTTTTTTTATATTCTTTCATGGACAGTGATGTTCTTGAGGATCAAGGGCTGGGAAGTTGCGGTGCTCTAGCTGACACCTCCCCTCTGAGTTGCTTACCTGCAGTGACCATGGTTACTCAATTTCTCAAGAAAAGGAGGAACAAAAACCTTAGAAATTCTCTTGAAGGAATAGATGCAAGTAATACAATTTACCAAATTATTAAGGAGCTCAGTTATTGAAACCCAGTTTAAACTTTATAATTTCACGTGATAATACTTTTTCCATTTAATAATTTAATAAGCTTTTCTAATAATTTAATAAGCTTTTTTTTTAGCTGTAGAAAAAAATTTATATGAAACATCTTTTTATAAAATTGTTTTAATATGCATTTGTAGGCACTAAATTATGTTTTATGTCGCTATGCCTTCCACCTTACTTTCTTTGCTGTTAAGTGAAGAATTCTATGCATATTCTATGCAAATGTGCATTTAGTTACGGTAACATTATTATAAAATTATAGTACATCTCTGGAAGTGGAGATCCAAACCCTAAGGGTAGTATTTTGAGAAAATTATTAATTAGGAATTTGTCCAGACTACTCTCTCAAAGGATTTTTGTCACTTGCCGTGTTCAGCAACACAAACAAGGAAATGCATGTTTTAAATAAGTACAAAATTAAAAAAATAAATGAATACATAAGTCTTAAAATATCAGTTTGTGGAATTTAAAAAAATTTAAAACTACTTTATGTGGTACTTTAGTAGAGTTATAGCAAAAGAAAAGTAATAGTGATAACACTGCTTTGAAGCTGTTAGAAAGATAGATGCAGTAGGTGATGTGTTTCTTTCATTTGACTTTGTAAATGAAATAATTTAGAATGTACTAGGTGAGCTTGTCATTTATATGAGATCAGAGAAAAGTCTGTTGATTGTTAATACTGTGGTGCTGTTATAAACTAGCCATTTATGAATGTGTTTTGTATGCAAGTGGGTATATGTAAATGAGAGACCAACTTTACTTTCTCTTTTCACTTAAGTCAAACAGTGTCTAGAAAAAGGTATAGGAATGGAGATTAGCAGAATCTAGTTCAGAGCCTGCTACTATGTATGATCTTTATGTCTTTAATCTTCATGCCTGATTCATTCTCACCCAAATAGATGACAGTACCTACCTTTTCTATCATAAATGACTATTTTGAGGTTTGGGTAATATTACAGATGTAAAATAATATATTTAGAAAAAGTTTAAGATCTTACAAATGAGAGGTTTTAGTTTTTACTGACCCTTTGCTTTAGTTCTCTGTTTAGCTATACTGCTGCTATATGGAGTTGACACCACTGAAATTCATTTCTTTCATTTCATTTTCTGTCCAGCCTTGACCTTTTCAATTCACAGTTAGTCAGTCTTCCTTTTTATTGATTTCTTCCTCCTCCTAGAAGTATTAACAGTATTAACTCCTACTATTTAACAGGTTCAGGTAGAAAATGGCATTTGTGTTAAGTATCTGCGTGTAATAACTTAGGGGTGTATATGGGTATATACTGTACATCCTGGGTAATTCATAGTACAAAACATTCTGCAAACAACTTAATTGATGCGGCATTTATACTTGCTAATTCATTTAAATAATTCTAACTACTGAAAGTACACTTTGTCTTGATTTCAGTTTATTTAATGACTATCATCTCATTACAACACCCCTGCCAATTATACTAGGCCCATTTGCCAGTGTTGTGGTGGTTAAATTTTCGTAAAGAAAATAAAGTAACTTACTGAATGAGTATTCCTGAGAGCCTTGGATGTAGCTTAATTTTTGAGGTTAATAATGTCAACAGATAAAAACATCTATAAAGTACAGATCTGTGTCTTGAAGATAAGATATCACTCAACTATGGCCTCATAAAATCATGCTTGGAGATTTTAACATGCCTCGTTTTAGTTAATTTCATGTGTTGATGGTATTTTGTTCTAGGTCCATCTTTTAAGCATACAGCTGAACTTGGTTTATTCAGTTTGAGAGTGTCTTTTAAGAGGTGAGTTAATCTATGTCATTATGATTGCTGATATATTTAGACTTATTTTTACCATCTTGTTTATTTCTGTTTATCAGTTACAGTTCAGTCGCTCAGTTGTGTCCAACTCTTTGTGACTCCATGGACTGCAGCATGCTAGGCCTCCCTGTGCATCACCAACTCCCAGAGCTTAAACTCATGTCCATTGAGTTGGTTATGCCATCCAACCATCTCATCCTCTGTCATCCCCTCTCCTTCCTTCAATCTTTCCAGCATCAGGGTCTTTTCAAATGAGTTAGTTCTTTGTATCAGGTGTCCAAAGTATTGGAGGTTCAGCATCAGTCCTTCCAATGAGTATTCAGGAGTGATTTCCTTTAGGATGGACTGGTTGGATCTCCTTGCAGTCCAAGGGACTCTGGGAGTCTTCTCCAACACCACACTTCAAAAGCATCAATTGTTCAGCGCTCAGCTTTCTTTATAGTCCAACTCTCACATCCATACGTGACTACTGTAAAAACCATTTTTTTGGTGTGGACAATTTTTAATTCATTTTTATTGAGTTTGTTGCATATTGCTTTTGTTTTATGTTTTGTTTTTTTGGCTGTTAGTCATGTGAGATCTTAGTTCCCCCACTAGGGGTCGAAGCCACACTGGACTGCCAGGGAAGTCCCCCTATTGAATTTTGAAATTCTTTTTGTAGTCTAAATATGTCTTTTGTCAGTTATGTATTTCTCCCAGTCTGTGGCTTGTCTTTTGTGTTTGTTTGGCTTGTCTTTATACTTTTAGCAGTGTCTTTCCTAGAGCAGAATTTTAAAATTTTGGTGAAGCTCAATTTATTAGTTTCTTTTTTTATGAATTGTGTATGCTTCTAGTGTTGTATCTGAGGAAACTTTTAAGAAACTAAGATCACAAAGATTATTCTAACTTTCCTTCCCCTTAAAAAAATGAAATATAATTGACATATAACATTTTAGTTTCAGTTGTACAACATGATAATTTGTATTATTTGCAGAAAGTGAAGTCGCTCAGTCATGTCTGACTTTTTGCAACCCCATGGACTGTAGCCCACCAGGCTCCTCCATCCGTGGGATTTTCCAGGCAAGAGTACTGAAGTGTGTTGACATTTCCTTCTCCAGGGGATCTTCCTGACCCAGGAATCGAACCTGGGTCTCCCGCATTGCAGGCAGACTCTTTACCAGCTGAGCCACCAGGGAATCCCTATTGCAGAACTCACCACAATTAAGCCCAGTTGACATCCATTACCACACTTAGTTACAAAATTTTATATTTCTTGTGATGAGAACTTTTAAGATCTACTCTCTAGCAACTTTTGTATTTTAACTACAGTGACCATACTGTACATTACATTTCTATGACTTACTGATTTTATAACTGGAAGTTTGTACCTTGTGACCCCTTTCGTCTGTTTCGCCCACCCCTGACCTCTGGCAGCTGTCGATCTGTTGTCTGTTATATATGAGCTTTTTTTTCTCCTACCTTTTTTAGTTTTCACATTTATATCTGTGGTTCACTTAGAATTAATTTTTGTATATGGTATGAGGTACTGGTTGCAGTTTATGTTTTTGTGTATGGAGATATCCTACCTCTCTGAGGATATTAATAATAGTTTACTATTTTCTAAAAACGAGAGGACTTACTATATAATATACAGAAATAATTTAATGCCTTTTCACAAGAGTATATCTTGAGCTAGTCTATGGGACAGGACTTCTTTCCTGGTCCATTTATGCAGTAGTTTTTATGGATCTGCCAGATGTTGCAGACAAAGGCCAAGAGGTTATCTAGGACTTCATCCCTGTTTTGCCAGAAGTAGACCTGAAGGATAGTCATCCCTGGGTCTCCTTTTCCACCTCACTGGTGCAGCTCCCATGGCATCCAGAGCTCTGGCTTCTTTGACTTTGAGCCCTTCTCCCTGTGTAGGTGGTCAGTTTCAATTTCAGCTGCTTTGGCCTGCTTTTGCCTTAGGTTGCTTGTGAACCTCCGACATCTTTTTCTATCCTTTAATTTTCACAGTAGCCCTCTGAAGTAAGTATATAGGTGAGGAAGCAAGCTAAGGTAGAGTGTCTAAGTTTCTTGTGGTCACTTTTGTTTATTTCGTTCCAAACCTCATGTTTTTATTGTGTACTCCACTCTACCCTGATTGATAATAGGAACCTTCAAAACCATACCATCAAACTCTTGCACTTACGAAAATAGGCCAGTGATTGTTTCTGCACCTTCCTCTTAAAACCTTTACTGTTTTTTGTCTTAGCTCTCAGGCCATTTCTGAGCAATAGAGGTTACAAGTACTCCACTGAACAACCAGTTCTAAATCCTGTCATCAAATCCTGTGCTCCTGTTCCAAATGGTAAGTTTTCTTATGGGCATATTAAAACTTTTATAAATTCAGAGTCTACCTCTGTTGAAATTTAATTTGTGAGAAAAGCTTAGTCTTTTTAGTGTTTTGCTACTTTTTTTTATCATACTGAGAAAATCAGAAGTATATTTACCTGATACAACTGTTAAGAATCATTTAGATAAATAAGATGCTTTACATCAGCTAAGAATCTGTTAACTTGTTATAATTTTACTTGATTATTATATTAATATAATAACTACTAACATTGTATGTATTGCATAGGTCTCACATTGTGCTTTACAAATGTTAATCCTTTAATCCTCACAACAACCCCATTAGGTAGGAGGTGGTATTGACATTTTATAGATGAAAAAACTAGGTTAGAAGAAGTTAAGAAATTTATGCTAGGTTGTAGAGCTTATAATTTGACAGAGCTAGCCTTCAAACCTTTGTATGTCTGTCTCAAATTTTTTGCTTTTCTCATTATACCATCTGATTACTTGTGGCATTTGAAGTTTTGCTATGTAGAAAGTCAAAGAATTACAGACATGCTGGAGAGAAAGTAAAGGTTTGGTCCTGTTTGTGCATTGTAGAGAATTATAGAAACTCTATTTAGATGTATTGAATTACCATAATTTGTTTGTTTGTTTTCAGGTAATAGATGCCTAATATTTCCTTTATGTGGAAGAAATGAGTGTAACTAGTATTGCATTGAGAGTTGAAACCTGGCTTTTAGCTACATGGCATGTTAAAGTGCCTTTAACATGGCTGGAAGCTTGTATTAACTGGATCCAAGAAGAAAATGATAATGTTAATTTGAGTCAGGCACAACTGAATAAACAAGTGTTTGAGCAGTGGCTCCTTACAGATCTGAGAGATTTGGAGCACCGTCTTTTACCTACTGGCATTTTAGAAGCTCCGAAAGGAGAACTGAATGGATTTTTTGCTCTGCAGATTAATTCATTGGTTGATGTTAGTCAGCCTGCATATGCCCAGATACAAAAGTTGAGAGGAAAGAATACAACCAATGACCTAATTACAGCTGAAACACAAGTAACCCCCAAACCTTGGGAAGCAAAGCCTTCACGAATGTTGATGCTACAGCTAACTGATGGAATTGTACAAATACAGGGAATGGAATATCAGTCTATTCCAACTCTGCATAGTGATCTTCTTCCAGGTACAAAAATTTTGATTTATGGAAATATTTCTTTCCGTCTTGGTGTTCTCTTGTTGAAACCAGAAAATGTGAAAGTGTTGGGAGGAGAAGTTGATGCTCTTTTAGAGGAATATGCCCAAGAAAAAGTTCTTGCAAGATTAATTGGGGAACCTGATCCTACAGTTTCAGTCATACCAAATAATTCTAACCAAAGCATCCCCAGAATTACGGATGTTCTAGATCCTGCTTTGGGACCTTCTGATGAAGAACTCTTGGCAAGTCTTGATGAAAATGATGAGCTTGCAGCAAGTAATAATACCTCTTCCGAAAGAAGTTGTTTCATAGGTAATTCCTCAGATACTGTTCCCATCAGACAGTCAGATTTTGAACCAGCACTTGTTATTTCTCCAAGGCCAAAGGAGAAACCACGAAACCAATCTATGCTTTTTACTGATGAGGAATTAGATGACTTTTCATTGGAGGAGGCCTTGCTTTTAGAAGAAGCTGTCCAGAAGGAACAAATGGAGACCAAAGAATTACAACTATTGACTTTGAACAGAACTACAGATGAAAGTATAGAGAGGTTTTCGCATCGATTTAATACTCTAAATAGTTTTTCTCTTATTTGCAAAAATGGAAACAATAATTGGAGTGAAAAAAATTTATCTGAGCAAATGACTAGTGAAGACAAATCTCTTAGTTGTCCATCTACTAGAGACCAAAACAGTGGTAGTCTTTCAGTTAATCATAATGTAACCCTACCCGATGATTTTGCAAATAAAGGTAAGAGCTCAGAGACATATACAATAAAACAAATTAGCAGTTCAGATGGACATTCTTTAAATAATACAACGTTCAATGGAGAGCTGGTCAGTAATGTACCAAAAAGGAGTTCAGATGTTTCTAATGAAAATGAGCACCATTTACAGACTTGTTCTTTACGATTGTCAGAGAATAGCACTGGACTTTCTATCACCATGGATTTGTATTCTCCACCCTTTATCTATTTGTCTGTTCTAATGGCCAGCAAACCAAAGGAGGTTACAACAGTGAAAATCAAAGCATTTATTGTAACCTTAACTGGAAATCTCTCAAGTTCTGGTGGCATTTGGAGTATAAGAGCAAAAATTTCTGATGGTACTGCGTATCTAGATGTAGACTTTGTAGATGAAATACTTACTAGTCTGATAGGGTTTTCAGTATCAGAAATGAAACGGTTAAAAAAGGATCCTTGTAAATACCAAAAGTTCCTGGAAGGTTTGCAGAAATGTCAGAGAGATCTAATAGATTTGTGCTGTCTGATGACTATTTCATTTAATCCCTCCTTGTCTAAAGCAATGGTACTGGCATTACAAGATGTTAATGTGGACCACCTTGAGAACCTAAAGAGGAGATTAAATAAATAATTTACTGAAATAGTGTTAAAAAGCAATTCAAATAAGCAAGGAAATATTTAGAATTAAATTTGTCCTTTTACTTTCACAACTTTTTGGAAAGGAAGTTTCACAACTGATTTCACTTTAATTTTATATTGCTTGATCATGATTGTGTGTTTCAGTTTTTTTAATAAAGTTTTTTATAGTAAATGTTTGCTGAATGAATTTGATGACCCACTGTTGTTGAGAAATTTTGTTTTCCACTTGTTATTTCACATACGGTGACTGGTAAAGTATTGTATTGGTGTTTACTGATGAGTCATACTGTTGAAAGAAGGTTAACAGTTATAAAAAAATAGTTGAGAACTTCTAATTTGTACCCAAAAAGATTTGTTTGTAATATTTTTCTTAGGAAAAAATGTAAATCCAGTGGATTAGAATGTTAGACTTTCAGATGTTAATTGTTTTGCTGGTTTTTATTTTGCTGATTGTAAATATTTTGTCTGGTATATTTAAGGCGATTATCTTAACTAGATACCATTTTAAAGATTATATTGAATACTTAAAAACTTGATTTTCAAGGATAATCTATTAAGAAGATCCAGTTAACTTTTGGGGGGATTAAAATAAGATGTATATCTATGTCTTTAGTTGTTATCTCCTTTCTGAATTAGTTTTACATGTAAGTCTTCCTTTAGTTTTGTTGGAAGTGCTGATTTCTTTTTCAACTGAAGCTGTTTCCCACTTTCCCATTTTGCTGTTAAAAAGTCACATTTGAAAGGTAAAGATTTTTATTGTTCTTTTTTTAAAATGTAAATTAAAGTATCTTGACTTTTAAAACATTAATAAAGTGAACATGGCATTTTTAAAGTAATGTAATAGAAAATATCTGGAAGTAAGATAAATACATATATACAAATATATAGATATAGCAGAAAAATATTCTAAAAATCTTTTGTCATTATTGGTTGAAGGATGATTATCAGAGTTCAAGGCACAATCCAGATTTTGCTGCTATGTCTTCTGATAATAACCACTTCTATGTCCTTGCATAGCTTTTTTACTACATGGATGGCGTTATCTTTCATTATCTTTCTTCTAAGTGTTCTCCTGTATTCTGTGAGTAGTGCTTGAAAGCTGTTATTAAATTTTGTTTTCTCTTTATATTCAGTTACTGAAGACAGGGTACAGTACTTAACGGTCTTCCTAGGTGACGCTAGTGTTTAAAGAGCCCACCTGCCAATGCAGGAGACATAAAAGGTGTGGGTTTGATCCCTCGGTCAGGAGGATCTCCTGGAGGAGGGTATGGCAACCCACTCCAGTATTCTTGCTGGAGAATCCCATGAACAGAGGAGCCTCGTGGGCTACAGTCCACATGGTTGCTAAGAGTCAAAGTTGCAAAGACACGACTGAAGCTTCTTAACACGCACACACACAGTACCTTACCATATCAATCCTTTATTCTGTATTAGAGCTTTGTTTCTGACTCTAGTCTTCACTGGCCTGGAGTATTCCAGTAGGCTTACTAATTGGCCTGTGCCTTATTTTGTCCTTAAGCCTTTAACCATAATTCTGCCTGAATGATCTTTCTGACCATTCTTGTTTACTAATAAACTTCTTGTTTACTACTGTTTGTTGCTCTCTGATACCAACCTTTTCCAGACTCTTCATCTAGTATGTAAGACCTTTTGCAGTCTGGTCTTGCCTCCTTATTCTTCACCTGCCTTGTCGGCCAATAAATTTTAGTTGTAAAATTTGTTCCCCAAATGGGGGGAATATACTTCATACTTATCATACTCAAGCTCATAGTAATAACCCTCCCAGATTTCCACTCAGCTTAAGCTTTAGATGGCCATTGAAGTGCTTCATGAATTTCCCTATCCACTTTCATGCCCTTTGTATATTGTATAGACTATATATTTATGTTTTATTATACTTATTTGCTTCCTGTATTCTACTGCTACATTTTGGGCAGAATAACTCTTTTGTAGAGAGCTGTCATGGGCACCCTTTAGCAACATCCTGGCCTCTACATGTGATGTAGAATCCTTCCAGTTATAGATGAATAGATAAAGAAGTTGTGGTACATATATACAATGAAATATTACTTAGCCATAAAGAGGAATGAATTTGAGTCAGCTGAACTGAGGTGGATGAACCTGGAGCCTGTTATATTAAAACGTACATAGAAAAGACAGAAGGACCAGACATCAAATTGCCAACATCTGCTAGATCACTGAAAAAGCAAGAGAGTTCAGAAAAACATCTACTTTTGCTTTATTGACTACACCAAAGCCTTTGACTATGTGGGCTGCAGCAAACTGTGGAAAATTCTTCAACAGATGGGAATACCAGACCACCTGACCTGCCTCTTGAGAAATCTGTATGCAGGTCAAGAAGCAACAGTTAGAACTGCACATGGAACAACAGACTGGTTCCAAATTGGGAAAGGAGTACATCAGGGCTTTATATTGTCACCCTGTTTGTTTAACTTATATGCAGAGTACATCATGCAAAATGCTGGGCTGGGTGACGTACAAGCAGGAATCAAGATTGTCAGGAGAAATATCAATAACCTCAGATATGCAGATGACACCACCTCTATGGCAGAAAGCGAGGAGTAACTAAAGACCCTCTTGAAAGAGGAGAGTGAAAAAGTTGGCTTAAAAACTCAACATTCAGAAACTAAGATCATGGCATCCGGTCCCATCACTTCATGGCAATTAGATGGGGAAACAATGGAAACAGAGACTATTTTTTTGGGTTCCAAAGTCACTGCAGGTGGTGACTGCAGCCATGAAGTTAAAAGATGCTTGACCCTTGGAAGAAAAGCTATGACCAAGCTAGACAGCATATTAAAAAGCAAAGATTACCAACAAAGGTCCATCTAGTCAGAGCTATGTTTTTTCCAGTAGTCATGTATAGATGTGAGAGTTGGGCTATAAAGAAAGCTGAGCACCAAAGAATTGATGCTTTTGAGCTGTGGTGTTGGAGAAGACTTGAGAGTCCCTTGGACTGCAAGGAGATCCAACCAGTCCATCCTAAAGGAGATCAGTCAGTCCTGAATATCCATTGGAAGGACTGATGCTGAAGCTGAAACTCCATTACTTTGGCCACCTGATGCAAAGAACTGACTCATTGGAAAAGACCCTTTAGCTGGGAAAGATTGAAGGTGGGAAGTGAAGGGGACGACAGGATGAGATGGTTGGATGGCATCACTGATGAGATGGACTTAAGTTTGAGGCTCCAGGAGTTGGTGATGGACGGGGAAGCCTGGCGTACTGCAGTCCATGGGGTTGCAAAGAGTTAGACATGACTGAGCGACTGAACTGAGCTGAACTGAAAACATACACATGGAATTTAGAAAAATGGTATTGATGAACGTATTTGCAGGGCAGGAACAGAGACACACAGACTTGTGGACACAGTGGGGGAAAGAGGGTGGGGTGAATTGAGAGAGGCATATTGAAGCATCCCTTACCAGATGTAAAATAGCTAGGGGAAAGCGGCTGTATCACAGAGGGAGCTCAACCTGGTGCCGACAGCCTAGAAGGATGGGATGGGAGAGGGTAGAGGGAGGGGAAATGTGTATATTTATCCCTGGAGAGGGAAGATCCTCTGGAGAAGGAAATGGCAACCCACTCCAGTATTCTTGCCTGGGACATCCCCTGGACAGAAGGAACTTGGCAGGCTACAGCCCATGAGGTCTTAAGAGCTGGACAAGACTTAGCAACTGAACAACAATGACATGGCTGATTTATGTTGTATGGCAGAAACCAACACAACATTGTAAAACAATAATCCTCCAATTAAAAAAATCCTTCCAGTTGTGACAAGCAAAGATCTTTCCATAAATAGCAAAATATTACTGCAGAGACAACATTGCCCTGGGTTGAGAACCATTACTGTAATGAAATATAAGCTGCTTGAGGGTGTGGCTAATTCATTACCTTTGTCACTCCACTAAATGTTTCCTGTTACTATAAATGAATCATCATGTCATCTGTGTTCCCTTGCTTAATATCTTTTAGTGATTTCTCATTATGTGTTCAATAGCATGGTATTTAAAGCTCCCCAGACCTCTGTATGCATGGCTCCTCAGGTATCTTCAGTGAAAGAATAAATTAGAAAAATCTGCCCAATAGCAAAGCAAAATTGCTCAGTCGTGTCTGACTCTTTGCGACCCCATGGACTGTAGCCTAACGGGCTCCTCTCCATCCATGGGATTTTCCAGGCAAGAGTACTGGAATGGGTTGCCATTTCCTTCTCCAGGGGATCTTCCCACCCCAGGGATCGAACCCAGGTCTCCTGCATCGCAGACAGACGCTTTACCATCTGAGCCCCCAGGGATAGCAAAGGGAGAGTATAAAAAAGCTTGGTTGACTTCACCTAGATTCTACTAGAGGGGGAAACCAGTTTTCTCTGAGAATCTGCAGCTAGAGGACTGTTCTTTATTGTTATTACTTATTTTTGGCTGTGCTGCATATGCTGTGTGGGCTTTTCCCTAGTTCTGGTGGGCAGGGTCTCTTCTCCAGTTGAGGTGTGCAGGCTTTTCACTGCAGTGGCTTCTCTCGTTGCAGAGCGTGGGCTCTAGGGCGCCTTGGCTTTAGTAGTTGCAGCACGTGGGCCCAGTGTTTGCAGCTCTAGAGTACAGGCTCAGTACTTGTGGCTCACAGGCTTAGTTGCTTCCCGGCCTGTGGGATCTAACCAGATTCAGGGATTGAACCCTGTCTCCTGAGGTTCAGTTGGTTGGCAGGCGGGTTCTTTACCACTGTGCTACCAGGGAAACCTGGTCTGTTCTTATATGGGACAAAGCAGACACTTAAGTTCCCTGTGTGATAATCTCCAACCGAGAATTTTTTTTTTTTCATTTATTTTTATTAGTTGGAGGCTAATTACTCAGATCATCTTTAACTTCGTAAGAGTGAATTTGCTTTCAGAGAGTATATGTTCTTTGTGCCTGCGTTCTGTATGTCTTATATGTATTGATCACTACTCTAGTCCACCACTGCTTATGACTGGTGGGTATATCTGCTCAATTCTGGAGTTAGCAGGCAATAAAAGAAATGCTCAGACACGCATGGACTTAATATGTGCAAGAAGAAAACAGAAGAGATTGAAAATATCAACAGGAGATTGGGTATTTTAAAAAACTAAAAGACTGTAACAGCTGAAATTTTGAAAAGTCAATGAATGAGTTTGACACCAGATGAAACACAGCTGAAGACACAGTGAAATTTGGTCAGAAGAAAAAATTCAGAGTATATAGAGACAAGAGGATGGAAAAGAACCAAAAAATGATATAACACCACGAAGGGCTAACATTAACTGTAGTCCCCCCAAAAGGAAATAGAGGATACTTAGAGTTAATGCTTAAGAAATTTTAAAATTTAGGGAAATCAAGCTGTAAATTCTGGAAGTCCCACAAACCCCAAGCAAAATATATTCAGAGTAATCATACCTGTGCAAATATCAATACCATTGAAAGCTAAAAAAAAAAAAAAAAATCTTTTTTTTTTTTTTTCCATTTATTTTTATTAGTTGGAGGCTAATTACTCAGATCATCTTTAACTTCGTAAGAGTGAATTTGCTTTCAGAGAGTATATGTTCTTTGTGCCTGCGTTCTGTATGTCTTATATGTA